AAAACAAAGGATGAAAATGCAATTAAGTTGAAGTTAGTAGATTAATACAACTTGCATCTATATATTATGGAGTTGTTATTTGAGCCGAGTTGTTCATGAACACAACTTGATTCGATTTGTAAAACATTGAGCTCGGCTCGTTCATTTACTTAACCGAAAAGCTTGAACAATTAATAAAACTCGTTTAATAAACATGTCAAGCCAAACATATTTGCTAAAAAATAAATCGTATTCGTGGATAATTTGTTTATTATTTAGGTTTTGTTAAGCGAGCCGATTCAAGTCGAGCTTAAACAAGCCGAGACGAGCATCAACACGAACACAATTATTTCAAGGGGCTGATTATTTCAAAGAAGATTGGTGGTTTATTATTATACCTTGGGCTTGGGGTTTTTCCATCTTTTTGAAGTCGCTTATTGGACAAAACATAGGTTTAGATTAACAAAAGTGGATATGCAGGAAGTGGGCTGGCCAAATACCCATAAAAGCAGAAAAAATAAAGGTCCAACAATTTGCACAGTTGGACCACAATCACAAAGCATGTGAACTTCGAAACAATTAACCTACAAGACTCTTTTTTATCATTGAATAGAGTCCAACATTTATTTATATGTTCGTTCTGTCCATAGTTAGAAGAGTTTTGCATGAAATGAATTGGAGATTTTATGGTTTATACGAATTACCAGCCATTATCCATTCAGCCTCACACTGATCACACTGCAAATTTAACCTTTGAATTAACATGTACTTATATGGGTATGTAAATGTGTGCAGTTGTCAAATTAAAATTCCTCTATTTCACAAGCCATGATTGACTATTTTAAGCTACAAGAAATGACGAGTTGAGCTAAGTTAAGTTCGGCTTGTTTATTAATCATAACGAACCGAACTAAACTTTTACAAGTTTTGAGAAAAAAAAAAAAAAACTTTTACAAGTTTGAACTATAAAAAATTACATAAAATTTTTATATTTGAACTTTAATGAGTCGAACTGTCTTGTCAGCTAAACGAGTTTAAGCACGATTCGCATTATCGAACAAGTCGAGTCGAGTGGAGGTAAAGGTCACGAACAACTCATTTTTTATTGAAGAGCTTTATTCTCATTCAAGAGCTTTATTCTCGGTTCAACATCTTGAATTTGCGAAACAAATTGCAAAAAACTGAAAACAAAAAGCTAGACTGCACACAATTTGACTAGTAAGGAACTTACGGAAAAGCCCTCAACGAAAAAAATGGAAGGGCTTTCACACCGATTACAATGACTCACCAAAAACTAAAAATGATAAAAGAAACTAAAATACCATTTCCAGAGTTATACTCCGAACTTTCGAAGTCGTCAGAAGGACGAAACGACGCCGTATTTGGCACCAGCGACGAAACTCGCTGTCCCGGCGCCGAAGATCCCGTCCGTATCCGACTCGGATTCGGACTCAGTTCTCTTTGCGAACCGGCCTTTGACCCTCGGTCGGGTCTCTGCGTACGCCTTCCGAGAAGCGTACCGGATTGTCTTTTCGAATTTCCGGTTCTTTCTCTTCTCCCTGTACCTCAAAACCCTAGCCTCCCTGTCCGTCCTCACTGCCGGCGACCCGCTCGAATTGACGCTACGCGCGAACGGGTATGTGATTTCCAACAACAATCCGCCGTCCGGCACCACCCCAGCCTTCATCGACGACGAGGAAACCTGTAATTTGATTTTATTTTTTTTTTCGGTTTCAGAATCAGATTTTTTAGGTCAAATTTGGGGAAAATAATGGTGGAAAGAGGATATTCAGTTATTTACGCTGTAGCTGCTGTTGATGTTGGGTCCTGTGAAATCGATCATGAAATGGTTGTCCGGCGAGTGGTCGTGGACCGGGAGGCCGGTCGGCCGGACGATATTTTGAACCGGGACGACGCCGTCAGTGTACGGTTGGGACGGGATCTGGTAGCTATCGAGATCCAGAAACTGATCGGAACCCTGGAATTGCAGTTCCACGGGCTTCAAATCGCCACCGTTCCCCGCCGGCGGGCCATCGATCCACGAATGGGGTGTGTACTCGTCGATCGTCTCCGCCACGGCGCCGTGGAAGGGCGCCACCGGGACCCGGTCGTAGTGGCCGGCGAGGGTGTTTGCGGAGTGGACGTCGCGGTCGCAGACGGCGCAGAGAGCGGCGGCGGCGGCGGGGGCCAGCTCGCAGACTTCGCACAGCCAGACACGGCCGTGCGGCCCCTCTTCGCGGGCGGGCAAGGACTTCGCCTCCGTGCTCATCCCCGCCGGGAAGGACTTCGCCACGGCGGCGGTATTAACTTCTTGCACAATTCCCATTTTTCTCTAAATACCCTTCAAATTTTCCTTTTTTTTTTTTTATTTATTTCAGTCTCAGCACCATATAAGTGGTGTTGACTGCATATATCTGTATGTATGTATAATCCAGCTGGGCAGGCAGAGGGGAGCGAAGGATTTAGTAGCCCACACGTGGAGGATTTACAGCCACATAAAAGATTGATTGAATGGGCATTTGATATTTTGAGTGTTTGTCTGTGCCGACTTACAGTGTGGTGGGACCCGCTTGGATTGAATGGCAAATAAATGTTTCTTGGTGAGGGCAAAAGTGAAATTTTATGAATTATTTGTTCAATTTGCAAAGGCCACAGACATTAGTAGTGTATATTAGTCCCTTTGGGGACCTCCAATAAAATTGAAACCATACAAAGAAAATTAGCTAGCATGGTCTCTCTGCGCAAGGATGACACACATAAATTGAGTAATGTATATTAATTTTTTATATTATTATATTATTATCGTGACATGAGGCTTTTGTTAGAGCATGTCCAACGCATCATCACATTTGTTGATTACGCTGGAGTTGTGTCAAATTTATTCTCCAACGTTGCGTTATAATTTAGCGCTACATCACATATATCTACTGGCGCAGTACCACTGCAGTTCTTTTTTTTTTTTTAATATCAATTATAAAATGTTTGTGTTCACTCCATGGCTTTTTTGTTTATATATAATTTTTATATTATTAAAAATTGATAATTTGATTATACTTCTATTTTAAATTTATTTCTTGTAAATATTAATACTAAATAAAATAATAATCTTGACATCTATATATATTGTTAGTAACAGTTCTATGACTTAGATTACCCATTGAGAATTCACAAATAATTGATTAATATTCTTAAAGTATAATAATCTTGATATAAATAATGTTGTATTTAATTGTATATTTTCAATCATATATCGATAATTTAAATAACTAAATGTGTAAGATTACATATTTCATCAAATTATATTTTTGGTATTAAAATTAATTTAAAATAATGAGAATAAAATTTAATATTCATGTAGAGTAAAATATAGCACGAACGATTGGAGAAAAACTTTGACTTTTAGTTAAATCTACTCTAGAGTATAATAAATTCTACACTAGAGTAGAGATAAGGGTTGAATATGGTCTTATATTATTAGCTGTCATGTGATGTTAATGTATTTTTTTTAATTAGTGAAAAATATAGATTTCTTTTTTAATTTTGGATTTTTAAAATTTGTAATAAATATAATTTTATTTATAATTAGTGAAAAAAACTGAAGAATAAACAATGGGGGCCAAGTTGACCACCCAAAAATTAAAGTAATCTGAGTTCAAACACCCGATTGGAAAGTAGTTTAGCTAATTCATTGGCTAATTATTATTCCTCATTTTCCTTTAAAAAAAGCCGCACACTCGTACATATCATGGGACAATTAATTAACAGATGAAAGCCGACAATCCAATTATTTTGATCGCACTATAGTGCTGTTTAATTACTCTTAATATCATCTCTAAAGTTTATTAAATCAGTTTACTTCAATTGGTTAAGTGCTACTGCAAAATGGCGACATCTGATTGGACTTGATTGGTTATTAAATCACTCTTCATATGGCAATCAAAGAATAAAGAGCTAATCCTATAATTTATTAGTGTTGGACTTGATTGATAAGTTTGTCAAACTTTTTCCACTGGCAAAAGTGCTTCTCATCGCACTTCATAATATGGCATTTGTATTTCTGCCCATTAACTATTGTTATCATAACATAAAACCACATGCATTACATGTAGACGTGTCCAAGTTCGGCCCGAACTGCCGAACTAGCCTGGAATAAGCCCGATCAGAATTGTTGACCGCATGCCTTGAACCGATATGTGAATTTATTCGGCCGATTTATCAAGTTGCTTAATGAATACATTGATTAAACAGTCATATTCTTTCAATAAATGTACTCAAATATTATACTTGAAAATATAATACAAACAAAAATGTGATAATATTTAAAAGTATAGGGGAGTTTGGATCATCACTTTTCTGGAACTCCTAGTCAGGCTAAGATATTTATTTTGTTCGTTATATGGTTAGCGTTTCGTAATATCTGTACAATCGAACAATATTTAGAACCATCAGAAAAAAGAAGAAAAAACAAGCATGGGGCATCACGTTTTACGAGCCCTGAACTCCGAACAAATAAAGAAATCAGTTGCATGAAATACTCAATGGACCAAAAGGAATAAGATCTAAGCATGCCTGTAAGAGCTCCGAAATTATATATGTTCGTATCAATTCAATCAGAATAATCGTCTTGAATAAATCCCCGAAACTTTTATCCACCTCCAGATTTAAGCGTATTACTCAACCTGTTCGTTACACAAAACAAAGAGGAAGGCAAGAGAACAGTATTATCATGATTAGTCTCCGAATGTGAATGTTTATATAAAGGAAGAACTGTTTTCACCATACTTCGAAATTCTGGTAAAAATGACTAGAACGAGACTCTTTTTCAAGCCTGATTGCCCTTTTCTTCAAGGAGTTTGTCTAGTACTTTCTCGGGTAGTATTTGTTAATCGAGAAGGAAATTAAATTTTAGGTAACTTATTAAACCTCAAGAACAGTTTCAGTTAACTACTGCAAAAAGAAAAGATAAGATTTAAAGGAAACCCAATGATTTCACGTTTAAGTCATTCTCACCAGTCCAAGCCCTCAAAGAGGCCTTCTCCTTTTATGGCAGAAGTTTTGAAAATAGACCATTGTCGGTTCTTAATCTTGTGCAGCTCTAAGGCCTCAGTTATCGAAGCATCATCGAGTGCTCCAGGAAGATCCTATGGAGAAAAAGTTCATGAATAGAAGCATCACTTGAAAATCTTAGAGATAATAGCATAGAAGCTGAAGGCCAATTCACACTGAAACAGCTAAATATAGCATCCAATTACCTGTTTGTTAGCAAATAAGAGAACCACAGCACCTTTTAGCTCCTCCTCCTGAAAATATATATATTGCAAAATAAGTTTCAAAAGCAAACCGGACTGTTTTTGTGGATTATTTGGTGATTTTTATTTTTTTTACTTTATTATTTTTTTTTTTTAAATGATGAAGCAAACCTAACTATTACAACATAGAAAAGGGTGAGGAGAGGGGTAAAACATAAAGAAAAAAAGATATTGGATGAATAAAAGCAAGAGAACCTCCAATATTGCGTGAAACTCTTCTTTAGCAATCACCAACCTCTCCGTATCACTTGAATCAACAACATATATTATGGCCTGGGTATTGGGAAAGTAGCATCTCCAATATGGCCTAAGTAGGAAACAAATACAATAAGCAACAGCATGTAAAGTTGCTGCAAAGAGTAATATGAAATTGATGTTGGACCTGTAAGTATAAAGGCTTTAACTAGTCTAATTCCTATCTTACCAAATGATATTATGAAATAATCAAAACTGATCTTAACTTCAGATTTAAAATAATATGGAGAAGAAGTGAAGGACTTGATAGTAAAGATATGACAGGATACCATAAAATTTAACATATTTTACTTCTGCCCGGAATCTAAAACATATGAAAATAGAATCTTAAGCATTTTTAGCTTTTACACATGCAGATAAGCCTCATGGTGCAACAAGATATTTATAGGAAACCAGAATTAAGAACTAAATGTAACTTCTTCCCATTGTGGTGGAACAGAATCTATTTCCCAAGACTGTAAGATAAAAAGCTAGGAAACTAGTGCCTGCAAATTACACTTTCTTTCATGAAAAGGTCCTAATCATTTACAAGGACCAAAACCACTAATCTTCGCATGCCCAATAATAAACCCTTACTAAAGAATGCAAATTACCATCAAATTTTGAAACAAAATGACTCTTCCAAAGTTAATTGATGATAGAAAGCAAAAAAAATTAACTAGGAAATATTAGTACCACTATTTACATTATGCAACGCAAAACTACACTGCTACACTAGATAAATAAATGCTACTAACTCGCAAAATCAGAAAAACAAGAAGAAATTAAGGGAGGGGAGGAGTTGTTACCGGATACTAGTCTGTCCACCTGTAATCACCACAAATAGCCATCTATGTTAGACATGACACTAGAAAACATTAACAAGGAAACATAAGCATGCTATTTACATGTTAGATTAGCAGGTTTGCACAATTAGGAGGTCTTCTGTGGAAAAATGTGAAAAAAAGAGCAACCAAGGAGTGAATATCTACCGCAAACTAATTATTTTCTTCTAAACGCTCCAACAGAGAGAGAGAGAGAGAGAGAGAGAGAGTATTGAAGGCATATTAGGTGAAAGGGATTGTTATTTACCATTAATAATCAAATGCTAGGCACAGAGAGTGGTCTTTTTCTTTCTCATTTGGGAGTCCTCACCAGCTCTAGACAGTGCACAAACAACTCATCTAAGCTAACTATTTCTTCTTCATATTAAGACTTCTAATAAGAATGAGTTGTTACAAGTTCATAGACTAAGAGAAACATGTAATAGACTAATAGAAATTAAGTGTAGCAGAACATGTAGTCGCAAAATCTTTCTTGTTGGCAAGAAAGAATATTACACTTCTGCTACATTCTAATAGACTAATAGAAACAAATGCTGAAAATTTAAGTTCGTTTACATGTTCTACATGCCAACAAGGTCCAGACAAATCATTCTGGTTAAGTGCACAAACATACCTAGATCCCAAACTTGAAACTTTATGTTGTTGTATTGCACAGTCTCAACATTGAACCCAATTGCTGCAAACACAACATGCTACTCGTTAACCAAGAAAAGTACAAGGTGCAATTTTTACGCTTTCCATACTTCAAATGCGATAGATCTAAATATACAGAGCCCAGAAAGATTTAAGCCCATCAATACAGAACAACTTCAACTAACAATTAGTAGAACACATGTAAGCACTTACTTGGAATGGTGGATACAACCTCACCCATTTGAAGTCGATCTACAAACACACCAATAAAGAAAAAAAGGAAGCTGTCAAATCAAGTGCAAGACGCGAATCGCGTCAGGAGAAAGTGCAGAAGACAAAATTAAAAACAAAATCGTACAAAGAATGGTGGTTTTTCCTGCATTGTCAAGCCCTAGAACGAGGATCCGAGCTTCTTTGTTCCCAAACAAGGACGAGAACAGCCGCGTGAAAACTATTCCCATTCCTCAGGCTGACGTTCGATATGACGAATGATTTAACCTGGAAAAAAAAAGGAAAAATTCCTGATTGGATCTGAGAAAATATCCTTGTCCTTGGCCTGCAGACAAGAAGGAACTGATGCAATCGTTAACGAGATGATTTTTTACTGTAACTGAGCATGAGAGGATGATGATGCGTGATGAAAATGAGAATCTGCCTGAGAGGAGGGGTGGATTTGGAAATAGACTGATTATGGTGGTGAATTTTGTAAATATGGACGATTATTTGAGTTGGGATGCTGATGACTGTTTATGAATATTGGAAACTTCGAAGCAATAGAAACTGATATTGACTTGGTATTTTTAATTGTTTTTAGTAAATAACTATACTTACAAATTAAAATTTTACATTTTAAGAGATAATGCAAACAAAAGTATGATATTTAATAAAATAAATATATATTTTTATTAAAAGGATATGGCGAATTGACTAGACTATTTATATTCTTCTTTCTTAGGGATATTTATTCGTTATTTTTATTTTTGAAAATCATAAACGCTATTTTTAATAGTTATGCCTCAACCAAACACACATCAGAAATATAATTAGTTTATCCAGTTATGCTATTATGATTTAAGTAATTTTCATTAAGTGCAATGCAGAAATGCTACAATAACTAGCCTATTATGTAGGTCTATGACAATTAATTTGATTTTAACTCACAAACCAAGATTAGTTTTTT